AAAATAGATTATAAAACATGTTTTCAGTTATTTCACCTTTTTTGGTTAAGTACATAACTCCACATGTGTTCATTCATAGTTTTGATGCCTTCAGTGAGAATCTACTAATGTAAATGGTCATGAAAATAAAGAAAACACATTGCATGAGAAGGTGTGTCCAACTGTTATGCCTGTCTTATATATTAAAAACATAATTACAAATATCAAATCTAGTTTTCTGTATAAGAGACAGAACTCATGTGGGAGATGTTTTCACCAATAGTTTAAAAGTCAAAATAAAACATGAATGGTTATTACTGTCCAGTGTTTGGGTGTTGACAGAGATTAGGAGGTCAACAACAGATGCCAGGGCACACAGAACTCACAGAAAATGTTGTGCTGGTTTATCCTGATGTAGCATCATATTGTGGATCTGAGTTGTGTGTAGCAGCATATTCATGTTGTGGGGCCAACATCCATCAGAATGGCTCCATGCCTTGGTAACATGCCTAAAGTTGCTCATGATGGATGTACCACGTAGTTGCATCCCAATGCAGTGAGAGCACTGTGCTGGGATGAGTATGTGTTGAAATTGGGTGTGAGTGGTAGGATCGTCTGCTGACGAATGGAGAGGGATGAGAAAGCAAGCAAGCGTCTTTAGGAGGTGGAAAGTAGCTAGGAAAACCTATTTGGTGAGTGAGACTGTCTCAGCATAATAATTATTTTCACACTAAAGGAGGTTTTCCATATTTGTCATCATCCAGCCAGGTCCTACAGAGTTGTGGAGATTTTGGTGGGGTCTTAGTTCCAGTAGAAAATTTTCCTTTATGTAATTCCAACCTTGAAGCTCCAAGTGTCCTTGCATGTAAACATTGGAATGAAACAAACAACCAGCATCTCGTTGGGCTTTGTTTGCTGGCAATGAGCTGCAAAAGGTCTTCACGAGGGAGTTTCCAAAACATCTTCAAACAGTTGTGAGTGTTCTTTATTTCCTTACATGAGTTACAGGGCCTTGATCTCAAAATTCTGAGTATATTCAAAACAATTTGCTAAATAATGTTTCCCAAAATAGTCAGAACATCATGAACCTGTCAGGAACATCTGAAATGTCTTTCAAATGTGTTACAAGTGCCATTTCTATATACTTCTGACTGATTGTGTTATGTCTTCATCTAGTTGCAGCTGAGTAAGACGCTGGCTTATAAAGAATGTTTTCCTCCTTGTAGCCTAAGACCAGATTAAACCCTATCTCACAGTCAGAAACACATATATAGCATTAACAACCTCTGTAAGCAGGAACATTGCCCGCTGGCCTCCAAACATTCCTTTCAGCTTCCTTGAAGTTGCAGAGTAACTCATTAACAGTTTGATTCATTATTTGTTTTTGCAGAATAAAACACAACACCAGTTATCTAGTTAACAAAGAGCTTCTAAAGCTATTTTAGGAATGTTGAATATTCAGTTTGAGCAATCTCTTAGTGACATAAAAATAAACTTGACCACAGGGATTGGACTTGTGCAACATGTGCAAAAGCCCTCGGCCATTGCCTCTACCCAGTGACACTCCAACAAGTTCTCAGGGAAAACAGTCAGAGTGGGGTCTTGGAAAGAAAACGACACACACACACACACACACACACACACACACACACACACACACACACACACACACACACACACAAAAACACACACACACTGGTGGAGTAGAGCAGCACTGGTTGGAGCAGTCCCTAACTCTACTTATGGACGTGTGTGCATCCCACAACCACAAACTAATCCTTTCTGGCACCTTCTAGTTCTGATGGGACTCAACACTGACATGATGGACCCTTGCCCTGACTGCGTGGCTCTGGCTCTAGACCCTGGCCCTACCCCTAAGGCCCATACTCCTGGCTCCATTCCTTAGCCTAACCCCCTAACGCCAGTTTCACACTGGAAGCATCAGTGGCGCAAAACGGCAGCGGAACAGTTTACTAGCGAACTTCAAAGCGGGAGAGTCTTGGCAGTGGCACGGCTTCCTCGCTGTGCTCTTCGCTGGACTCGCAAGCTCACAAAATCCCTCGAGACTTCAGGTCACGCTTTGGTTATGCAATCCGCCGTTAAACCCAAAAGAAGGAAATCACGTTTGATATCGCTGTTTGATGTCATATATGATGTTGTTCCTCTCTACTGCCAGGATTAAAGCCATGAAAAACACACCTCTGCACTTCTGGAATGATGCTGTGAGTAAACTAGTTGTTGTGTCACACGTATTCTTCACATTTATGAAATTGCATAGCTGCAGTTCTTTTATTTTGAAAATTACCTGTGATTTTACACTGAAACAGTGTGGGATTTCCTGTGTACCCTTATGTTAACTGCAGAAATTGATGGGTCCCAGAAGTGGCTTGCGGCAAAAATAGAAACCGATCCTTCAGCGCCACAGCGGGCCACTTATGGCATGCGCCTGGAGAATGTTGCGTCACTGCTGGATCGAAACAGTCCATAGACTGCAATGGATTCCATTTGAAGCAGTGCCGATCCGCGCCGCTGATGCTTTCAGTGTGAAACCGGGGTCAGGCCCATATTCCTGGCCCCATCCCTGTAACCTGACCCCCCCCCCCCCCCCCCCCCCCCGTTGTGCTCTTTTTTGTTTTTATGACTTGGCACACACATGGCAACTGAATCACTGTTTGGGTCTCACCCGCCTGCGCACATGCATCCACACTGTCTCATTGCACCTTACGCAGCACATCTCGCCCCAACAGGATGACAGCTGATGGCTTCTTGGCACAACCAAATGCAGGTTGACCTGCGCATTCAGGGGCTTGATTCCCTGTTGTTGGTGCTGTTTAAAGAGTTTGTCGCTGCCCGTCCTGGCAGTGTGTTGTCAGCGCCATCTGGAACTGTTTACCCTGTTCAGCCCTGGTGGTGAACACTGAGGCTTTAGTTTGTCTTTCCACTACTGTGTACCCAGACGTCTTGTGCTGTTTGCTGTCAGTCAGTATAATGTGGTATGAAAGTTAAGATACTTTGCAGGGTGATGAAACTGGAGGAAGTGAATCATCACAGTTTTATTGTCACATTTGGGCAATGCACAATAATTATAGACAAACCCCTTTCTGTTATGTGTAACTAGGTAACAGAAGTCTCATCGGAAACTGACATCATTTCAATACTGATCAAAGTACAGATATGTAATTTCATCATGTGTGCTGCTGGTAGGCAGTCAGTAGGCAGTAGGGTATGGCTGAACAGCTCTCTGTATTAGTCAGACTGATTACCAACAGCTTCATGCTGCTCCATGGAAACAGCGCTCGTACTTGATGGCCTGAGATGAAAGTGCAAATAGAAGACAATGGCGTTGGTTAACTGTGAAAGAAATCCCCACACACCTCAGAGAAAACGTTCTGACTGAGAAACACGACTCTAGCATCCTCTTCATAATCTCTTCTGCATCCTGGAATTTTCAGGAGCTTCATTCTAGTGCATGTCTCACACCCAGAACTCTTCACCAGCCATGCCTTTCGGATGTTTTTGACATGTTTGTCTGTTTTTAAGGTGCATTTATTCTATTAACTGCTTGTGTCAGCTTTGACAGTTTCTGTGTTTCTTTGGAAAATGTCCAGATGCATTTCTTGTCAGACGTCTTTATCTGCTCTGGATAGCTACTACAGTGGCTATAGTCACTTTTCTACACATCATTAACAAACAGTAAAAACTTGGTCATCTTTTTGGGCTAGAGTGAATGTTAGCTTCATCTGTTGGCAATGTTGCTATCGTCGTGCTGGGGTCACTCTCCGTCAGTCTGAGAAGGTCAAATCCACTCCACGGCATTTCTATTTATAACAAAAGATTAAGGTCTCCTTTCATCCCCTCTAGTAAAAACTCAGCTCATTGTATTACCTTGAAGTAGCAGATGAAAGATGCTCAAAAGGAATCCCAGAATTTCCTGAAGGCTTATGTTGACACAGTGCCTGGCAGCATGCGTTAAAGAGATGTTTGTTTATTTGGGTCTAACCAAAGAATGACTCAAAATGATCCATGCTATGATATCTTCCTGCCCTAACCAAACTATTGTCACATTTATTAACTTTATTGTTAATTTGTTGAGTAAATTTTTTTTGAAAAGCTCAAAAACATAATATAGAATATTCACTCTTTGTAGGGAGGTTTAAAAGATTTTAGTTGGATAAGAAGTCCTAAGATAAGAAATCCCACATCTGGTGTTATTTTAAGGATTTCAGTTCTCTGACTATATGAAAGTATCTTAAACACGATAAACAAAAGCTAGAAAATGGCCAACAGGGACAGAATGAGCAGTTTCCCTCCTGTTCACCTGCAGAAAAATCACAGGAATATCAAATTTAATGTAGCATTCATCTCAAATGGAAGTAGCATTTCCCCCATACCTGTTGCAATAAGCTAATGCTAAATTTGACTTCTCTCAGAAGTTGGACCATATAGATCTAGTTATAATTTCCCACCCACAATAAATCTGTTGAGTCTTAAATAGTTTTATTTAGTTTGCTGAGACATGTAACCTTATGTGTCTCCATGCAAATCAGACGGAAAGTAAATCTTTTAAATGTATTTTATACTTTCTCACACAAAACTAGAGCTTAAATTATTTAATCATCCTATAGAAATGGAAGAACATTTTCTTAGCACCGGCTATTTGTTCTGATGAGAAAGAGCTTTCTACATTTGAATGGTTAAACTCCAACACCAGGGCAGTAAGCAAACTGCAGAGGTGCTTAAAAGCTGCTTAAGTACGGGTGGGCCAATAACAGGGCTTTCTAAATGTGGGATGTTCAGGCCACCAGCCTGTAATTACAGAAAAAAGATAAGATTAAGCAGGTTAGAGCTGGAGGTACTATTGAATACCATACATCTGTGAAAAGAAACACTGCTGAGAAACTAGCTTTTGGGGTCAATAACTGGGCTATACATCCAGGCAGAAACATGTATAAAAGTGTTCTTCATGGCTTGTGGAAGGCATTTAACCCAAGACATGCAGAGTCAGCACGGGAGTCAGGAGGTAAGAAATTAAACGTCTTTTATTAAACAAACGGGAATTAAAGGAGCACTGAAATCCAGTACATGATGCCGTGGGCGATCGTTCAGAGTTCTGAGCTCAGCGAGCTGCAGGACAAGCGGGGTGCCAAGGTGACGAGTGTGGCGATCCAGCCGGACGGGAGGTGAGGAAGCAGAGAGGGGAGATGCAGGAGCGGTGGAGGAGGATGGGACGTGTATGAAGATCCGTGGTTATTAGCAGAATCGGTGAAGGTTGTGGTGGTAATCCTAGGAGGGCAAACAGACGGAGCTTCAGGAGCAAGTTCTAAATCTTAATCTAAAAAAAAAAATAAGTCCAAAGTCAAAATCCAAATAATCCAAACATGCGAGGTCAAACGTCTACGAGCAAACAAGTACGAGTGGCAGGCGTTACCAATACTGGAGTGATCATCCGGCTTCGAGTGGTGTCTCCATCCTCCTTTTAAACCCGAGCTCCTAATGATTGATTCAGCACACCTGGTGACGCTCTGCTCCTCACCTGTGGGACACAGAACCTCAAAGATGGTTAATTTAGGAGGAGCACTGACCTCAGCAGGAGGATCATGACACACAGATCTATCCTGAGGAGCTAGGGTTTTTCCTTTAACAAGCTTCTTCCTTCAGACCGTAGCAGACTAAACATCCCTGCAACTGAAAATCTACGTCCTGTTTGCCTGTGCCTGTCGGTGAGCGGGAGCGCCAGGAATCACCCACAGCTCAACGCCCCAGGAGGGCCCGGTCCTGACTGGGGCTGTCAGCAGCAGACCCATTGTCACAAACAGGCCTTATAAGGGCAGACTTTGATATGCTCCAGCCTCAAAGCTGTGACAGAGAGATAAACACAGCGATAAGAGCAGAAAGAAACGGGGAAAATTGGCGTGGAGCTGTAAAAGGCCTGTAGAAGGGAGAGAGAAGCAAAACAACAATCACGTGGTAAGCTGAGGAAAGCCCCCAACCCCCTTGTGAGTCTGATGAGTCATCATCAGGAAGAGAGCCAGACGTAGACAAGCGCTCCATCTGAACCCACCCCACCCCCTCACTGGTAAACCTATAAGAGGTGTCTGGCCTAGATATGTGTCAAACACTCTTTCCTTCACAATGAGACCGAGCTGAGGCACTCTGGAAGATGTCAAGTTTATCTTTTCAACCATGTGAAAACTTTGTTTTTTTCTCCCCCTTTCTCGCAACCAATATCTCTTTTGTCTGTTTGTTGTCCTTGACGTCAATTATGCATGGTTACTATGGCAACAGTCAGTTTACAAAAACAGGAAAAGAGGAACGGAGAGTGTAATGGTGCTTTAGAAATGAGACACAGCTTCCCAAACTGTACAAACTAATAAAATGAACAAGGCAAATTATGTTCCTGATTTGCATGAAGTAATATGCTACTTTATATATATATATATATATATATATATATATATATATATATAAAGTATATATGTACATGTATGTATAATCACACCAATGCTGATATTCAGCAACAACGCACGACCTCGAGTGTGATATTGCTTTTATACAACAGTTCTACCTGCTCATTTTATTTTTAGAACAATAAGCAACAACAGATTATGATTTGTTGATTTATTTAATCATTTATCAGGCTCCGTCGCCAACACAAATAGTCCAAACATAAAACGGAGACAAGGCTGTTGCTAGGCAACACAAACATTTTCTACAATAACGGTTAGAACGCCTGTGCACAGCAGAGAGATACTGTTTGTAAACAGTCCCAATGCTGTTAGTCCAATATCAGCACTCTTGGAAAGTCCCTTGACCAATCAAATCACTTGATCGGAACTAACTCAGTATTATTTAGGAAATGACTCGACGGGATCAAGACAATGTTCCCCTTTTACCTAGTTCAGTATGTCCTTGAAAACTGCTGAGCCCGGCTCTTTTCCCTTTTGCCTTATTGGGTAAAAAAAACAACAAAAAAAAAAACCCAAAAAGTGCATAAAAGGATTTGCTGTTAAAGATGTCGTACCACCCTGTCGTCACACCGCTAGAGGAGGAGCTGCAGGCACATTATGTCATGTAGGACCACTTCTATATTTGGGGTTTTAAACAACACTGATGGTTGCTGTCAATGATGCTGTTGATGCACGGGGTGCTGGTGGTTACAACAGTTTCATTCATCTACCTGGCTCACTACTTCTGGTTCACACCCAAAAACAAACCATTTAATCTATACCGAGGGCAAGTCAGTCAAATGTAAACACACACCACATGGATGTCAGGCAATGTTATTCACTAAACGACTTTACCCATGGAAAAACACACCGGTTTCAAGGTTTGTGTGTTTTAAACTGCTGAGCTAAGATGTTATGTCCTAGTTTTGTGACTAAAATTAACTGTTAATGAGTTTCTAATCTTTCTTGAATGAAACATATAAAATCAAGTTTATTACTATAATTCTGGATCATATGTCTACATTTCTCCTCCCAGTGTTCCCAATTGCAGCAGAGTATTTTCTTTTAAAGACAGTAAAAAATAACAAAAAACAACACCTATTGTTGGAGTAGCTAGAGGGTTGGGGGGCCTCATAATTTCTATTTCCAGTGGTGACTTCACCTCAACAGTACGGTCCTTTCTCAGCCTCTGCACCAACCTTTCCCCATTATCTGAATTGGCCACTTCCTACATTCCCTCACTTCTATTTTCAGATCCTGGTTTCCAGCAGCAGCAGCAGATGTACATAATTGTGCTTTTTAATAATATGGAAAGGGAAAAAGTGACTGCACCTAAGTTTGGTGGTTTTGGTGGCTTAAATGTGAACAAAAGCACAGTCAGCCAAAAAAGCTTAGCTGCTGTGGGTGAAAACATAGACTTTTTTTGACTCAAGTTCCCTGCTTTAGCTGCCAGGGCATTCAGCAGGCAAGTTATGACTGAAAATATGGGTCAAACTTAACACCCCATAAATGAAACGGGAGGATTTATCAATGCCTCCATGGGCTCATTTAAAATGTCAGACACCTTAAAAAATTTGCATGCAACTATGATTCAAAAAACTCTAATTAACGAGGCAGACCAACCCTGTTTTTAACAGTGGAATTGGCATAAACAGGTTTTAATGTGTTTTGTGTGGTTTGAAGTCACCTGTTGTTGTTGTAGTCGATTAAAAAGCTATTTTTGATCATTTCTTTCTAAAGCTAAATGTGTCGCATGTATGTAAGTGTAGCCCTGGCCAAATAAAGAAAAAAATGTTTACTCTGGTACAGAGCAAAATACAAACAAACAATAAATTAGTTCATAATATTTAATGTTTTAAAAAAAATAGTTAACAAGTTGTACAACTGGTTATTAAATAAATATATATACATATTTTAATAAAAGCATGAATATAATATGTACCATCTAACAGGATTTGATTGATATGAAGGTTAAAATTTAATCTGTGAGCGGTTGAGGAGCTGTTATGTGTAGCCTAACTTGTTCTCTATTTTCCCTCTGGGATTAATAAAGTATTTTTGATTTGATTGATTGATTGATTTACGGTCATTTGTCAATCACTCAATCTCTGTTTTTCCAATGGTTGTATTACGAGCCAATCAGAGCACTGTTCCTTTGGTAAGAGGCGGGGCTAAGAACGCCAGTTAGTGTGGGAGTAGTGAGCCAGACTTGAAGAGTAAAGGTTGGTTTAGGCTTGCAAGGTTCGCACGGCTCTGCGCGGCAAAATTGCATAATTTTAACAACCACGCCCCTCCACCGCGCCTCCGCATGGCCCAAACTTTCCGCACCGTGCACCTAGGAAACTTTCTAACCACGCGGACGGTCGGACGCGGAAAACCATGGCGGACTGGCAAGAACTAGTTATGGCAGAGGTTCGTATTCGTATTCAACTTCAGGACAAACTACCAGAGTACCCAAAAGAAAAACACCATTTAAAGTCACAGAAAACAAAAGACTTGGACCTAGAAAACGGCGACTGGTGTTTAGCGCCATTTCATTTACTCTGGCAAAGAGGGTTCCAGTTACAGCTAATGTGGCCCATGGATGGTAACTGATGGGAGGGGTGAGAGTTCCTTGAGCATGTTTGTTTTTAAAAGCTAGCTTGTTGCCAGATTTTCTATTTCAGCTTTAATAGCCAAATATGTCACATCTATCTTGCATGATCTTTCTGCTCAGTATGGATGTGGGATTACCTTCAGCTCCCATGACAACAAATGTTAGCTCAATGTGTGTAGTCTAACGTCTTTCAGTTGTTTTATTGTTTTAGGCCTGAACTGAATAGAACTGCATTTTCCATTCCTTCTGCTTTCTCTGAGAGGTCACCTGAAAACATCCAGAGCTGCAACTCTGCATGCTCAAGCCTGGTTACATCAGCTATAATCATAATGATACAATAATTAAAAATGGGCATGTCTCTCTATCTTTATTCAAAACATGTATTCCAAACTGATGCATAAAGACCGGCGCCATATGGTTTCTTTTTACATACAAACAGACTTAGTTGTGATAACAGCTGTAAAAGAACTGACTTGGAGCCAATATTTACCCATTATTTCAAATACAATAAAATGATAAAGTAATCCTAAAATATAAATAATAAACTGTGGAATGCTGACATATTTAAAGAGGACCTATTGTGCAAAACTCACTTTTTGCATCCTTCTGTGGTGCCATGTGGGTCTCTTCTGCCTCTATCAACACTCCAAGCATGAAAAAATAAATAACTCATCTGTTCATTTTCTGTTATTGTTTGGTTTCAGGCATCATACGCCAAAAGGAGTTGTTTCAAAATGTCCCTGTTTGTGATGTCACAACATTGGAAATGTGCATAGAACCACCTCTCATGTGCAAGAGAGAGAACAGCTGCTGCTGGAAGAGTTGCAGATCATTTTCGAACCCCTCCTGAATTTCGGAGCTTCTCAGCTTATAGCAGCCTGGGTGGGGGATGGGTGATCATGGCCAGCTCCAACTTGATTTTCTAAAGCGGCAGAGCCCTGGAACGGCTCATTCTGAAAGGTAGTGAAAATGTCAAGTATAAAACAGTTGACTTGGTTTCATGTGAGAGGGGGTTTATGCGAAGAACTTTGCAAAGTCTATTTTATATGTTATTTGAAAAATTGAGGCTTTTGAGAAGAAAGAACTATTATTATTCTCACTGAAATAATTAATATAGAGAAGGTGATGAAGCTTAATTAACTATCAAATAACTTCCAGCCATTAAGGCTTTAAAGAAAAGATCTGATGACTTTATTAGGCTGTGTAGAACATTTGTAAATTCTAAGATTAACAATAAGAATGAAGGAATTTCGATATAATCGCAACCACAGCTGCCCAGAGATTCAATGTCCTTCCAGCAACTGAGTCAGCAAGACCTATTGTGCAACAAAAGCTGCGAACAAGATGTACGGGGGTGGGAAAAGAGGAAATCTGGTGTCCATTAGGAGCAATTTTATGACGTAGAGAGTAAGAGGCAAAAGCTATAAATAGAAAATGATGCATGTTGACAAAACAACAGTGGACTGTTAAAAACCGCTGAAAGTAAAGGTGAGCATTTTTAGTTAACATTTTTCTGAATTGCAAATGCAGAATTCTGAGGGTTTCTTTTAAAACTGGAAAACTTGCACAATTAAACCCTTTTTGATAGAATTAAGTTCTGATTGTTTGATTTATTGTCTGTGGCATAATAAAATCAGTAAATTAGAAATATAACAAAATAGGTCAAATCGAGATGTGTCTGGAAAAGAAGCATCACAAGTTCTTGCATCTGAAGGCCCTGAAGCTGTGTGCAGTTTGGTGGAACTATTACAGTGATGTGGCCGATGAAAGGGAGGCACACAAGGAAGGGGGAGGGGAGAGGAGGAGGGGTGAGAGACTTTAACAGAGAGAGGGAGAGAGAGAGAGAGAGAGAAGAAAGGAGAAACGTAGCTTTTCTCCACCAGCAAGTCATTTCTGTCTTTGGCTGTGCTTGCGCCCCAGCTGCCGCTGGTTCAAAGTACGGTCACTGGCAGGGAACCAGCCATAAGGCTGCAAAAATCACTCACTCAGCCACTTCACACGCACACAAGGAAGCAAAAAGAAACAGAATGTCTTTGGCACAAATGAACGTCTCAGACTTGAGTCCAGAACTGCATAGCTTAGACATCAAAACCAATGGGAACTTTTAATTCACATTGCATTCTTTAATGGGTAGATGAAAAGTTAATGCTTGGTCAGTCAGTTAAGTAGCACACTTATTAACTCCAGGGTTGGTGGAGAAAAGAACGCTAAATCTAATCATGCTCACTGTAAAAATGTAGCAAAAAGACATCTATTCTTGAGTGTGTTCATGAGCCAAACCTGCAGCAAATGCATCAAAGCAAACCAAGCAAAGCAAACAAAAAACTGAAACATATTAATCCTATGTTGACTCTTAGACCTTGGATCATATCCACCTTTTGACGTCGGTGACGTGTGTAATGGTCCACTGAGTCTGCATCTGATTTTCTCATTCAGCACAGAACTAGTGTGTGTTTATGGTGCATGAGACCCATGTGCATGCATACATGTTCTAATTCACGGCTGTGCAGACATGCATGCACGTCAGCCGATGACCTCGACAGGACCGTTTTCCTCTCGGACGTGACAGGGCCAGAGTTCCTGCAGCTACTGTTTGACATCCCCATGTCAGCGCTGATAGAGTGTTCTGTTTTTGTGTTTTGGTGGATGTCCAGGTGCAGAAAGGGAGACGTGAGCAGCAGGGCGGGGTCCAGTGCTCAAGTATCGCAACAACAGAGGGTGAGTTCACCCAAACACCAGAAATGATAACAGAGTTAAGAGTGAGCCTGCTTCCTAAAGCAGTTCCTTCTTGATTAATAGTTGACTTCCAAGGGGGGTAGGCTTCACTTGCTAATCACATCCAAACAGCGTCACGGACAAAGTGTTCTGTTTTCCTTTGCTTGTTTCTTCCTTCGAAGAAACTCAACAGCAAACTAGCAATAACTGTTTTTTTGTGGCATATTATCAGATGATATTCTAAACCTGCAATCAGAATAAAAGTGACAGATGAACAGTTAACGGCATTATTCAAAAAGATGTTTGTAATGACCACAAACACCTCAGTTAGTGCTGTCAATGAGAATTAATCCACATGTTTAACTTTCTGATCAATCCACATGAGCAACGCTTTCTGACAGAGTTCCAACTCTTGACTGTAATTAACTCTGAGATAATCTTTAATCAGACTGCACTGAGCTGTGATCGGTCTCACTCTTCCTACAAAAGATAAATGCATCATGAAAAGTGTGGCATAAAAATCAGACACTTCACACAGAGGAAATACGTTCCCACATACGTTTTATCAAATAAGTGACACTGAGGTCTGCCTGTAGAACAAAATGTTCAAAGTGAAAGGAAATGGAAACAGACCTGCCCTTTGACTTCCTTTAATAGAACAACTTCATCAGAAGACTGCTGGAGTCACAGTGATGAGCGAAAATGTTCTGTTAAAATAGACAAAACTGTGAGAGAATGTGATTTTGCCACGTTTGTGTGTAGAACTACACAAAAAACATTCAATGAATTGACAGAAACAATATTTTTTCCCTTTTTTTTAATTTACAGACAGCTCTGCAAAAAAATTTGACCAAAACAGCTGGAAAATCCTGAGGCATCAAGCTGTGAGTGACGCATTGCATTTACCAGCAAGGCCCAGAGGGAGTTTGAGACAGTAAGCCATACTCCTGCTCATCAGATTAGCAGCACCATGCTGTTTTCTGTGTGTGTGTGTGTGTGTGTGTGTGTGTGTGTGTGTGTGTGTGTGTGTGTGTGTGTGTGTGTGTGTGTGTGTGTGTGTGTGTGTGTGTGTGTGTGTGTGAGGGTTTGAATTTGTCAGCTTCGGTGGGCTCAGTGTAATTGCATGTGATGTGTTTCTAACTCAGGAAAGAGTTGTTTCCAGTTCCATGCCCAGGTCCTTTCCTGCTGATGCTAATGCTGGCGGAGAAACCAGCTAGCTTCCTGGACTCGGTGATCAACAAAAGACTGTGCGGTTACACCTGCTGGAGTTATACCTGCAGCCTGGTGGGGAAGTAAAGGCATATCTTAAATCTACTGATGGATGATGGAAACACAATGGGCTCAGAAATTAATTATCTATTAAGTGTCTAGAACAGGGGTGTCAAACTCATTTTAGCTCAGGGGCCACATTGAGGAAAATCTAGTCCCAAGTGGGCCGGACCGGTAAATTAAAAACAACTTCAGATTTTTTTCTTTGTTTTAATACAATCAATATAAAACAAGGCTGGAGCCTGAGGACAGTGTATCCAAAATAGTACAAGTACAACACCTGAAGTGTACTTGAAAATTTGAAAAAAATAAAAATAAAAATCAATCAATAAATAAAAACATTCCTTCGTGATTCAAAGAGCTTACAGATCACATGGCTAGATCAGTTTCATGCAGCACTTACAGTATATTTGACTCATTTTACTTTACATCTTTGAGCTTTCACCAGCACATCAATATCAGAAGTCACATCCTGAGTGTGAGCCTTGAGCGCAGCTTTGTTTTATTTATATTCATTACAGAGGAAACTTGCTCACAATGATAAGTTTATTTTCACTCTTCATTGTAAAGTATGAAAATAAAGTTTACACAACCATCTCGCGGGCCGGATTTAACCCGCTTGTGGGCCAGATCCGGCCCGCGGGCCGGATATTTGACACCCCTGGTTTAGATCAATGTAGGTAAGGTCAGCTTCATAAGAAGAGACAGGGTCAGAACACACACACACACACACACACACACACATGGGCGCGCGCGCACACACACACACACACACACACACACACACACACACACACACACACACACACACACACACACACACACACACATACAGTTATGACATTCCTCAGTGCCATCACACCTTGACTCGAACATATAAGTCCTGGCTAAAGAAACCACCTCCTGTATTTAAACCCTTATTAAGGGCTACAAGCTCATGGACTAAGTCCTGGGATCCAGACAGCTAACAACCCTGGATGTGTCTGGTAAAAGCTACTCACCCATTCAGAATGCTTTATGGCAGGCTGCAACCCACAGCCTCCTGCAGAGGGATATTTACAAAACAACTCATTAGACTGAAGCATGGACGTAATTTGGGGGTGGGGGGTGGTGGGGGTGGGGGGACAGGGGGGACATGTCCCCCCCCCCCCCACTTTTTCCAAAGTCAAGTTTTGACCCCTGCACCCAAAAACAATATTACGCTATATTAAATTGACACTGGTTGAGCTCTAGGACCAAGCGGAAAACAACCGTTTGTGTTGAAGCCAGTTTCCCATTAGAGCATACTGTAAAGATACAAACCCCCCCCGTGTCCCCCCCACTTCTAAAGTGAAAATTACGTCCATGGACTGAAGCAACAGATCTGGAAGGGAAAGAGAGTCGGGTCGAGTCATAAACAGTTGTTTTAGTTTTTAAAGCTGACTTATGTTACAACCATATTTTTGCCCCTGACCTGAATCCAAGTTGTTTGATTTTTGATTATCTTCCAATACTGAGTCCTGCTGAGTCCTGTTTTGATACCAGGTGGTGATGTAATGCATTAAAAGAAGAAAAAAATGGAGAAAGTCCCATAGTCATCATCACATTCTGGTGATCTCATTGGAGGAGAGTGGTGAGATGCAACAATGGCTGCGCTCGGGAACTATTTGGTGGTTTTACCCCCAATTCAACCCCTTAAAACTGACTGTCAAGCAGGGAGGCATTGGGATCCATTTTTAAAGTCTTTGGTATGACCCGACCGAGAACCGAACCTGATCTCACAGTCCCAGGGAGGACACTACCACAAGGCCACTGAGCTGGTCCCAAATTGTCCTTCTATCTGCATTTGTATTCAAAATTGACCTGAGACAGCTCATGTAAGAGGTGGTACAATATGAATAAAATAAAATAAGTCAAATAAATGCAACCACAGAAAGTTATCAAGCGTGATCTACAGCTGTGGCAGCTGAGATCCAGTTCCATGATCTCACTCTGAACTTCACACTAAACATGAGAGAATACTGCATGCTATTTGCTATAACTTTGCTTCATGGTGCTGATCCAGAATAATTACCTCATTATTTATTTCTAGTGTTATAATAATAACATAATAGTCAACAATAATAAAAAAAAACTAATAAATTAATAAAACATGCAGTTATGCTCACATTCACTTTTACCATCTCTTCATGGGCAGCAGAACATTTATCACATGTTTAACCCTCTTATGAATATAACTGGTATTTATTTTTTCTGGCTGTGAAATAACACCAAAACGTGCAAAATGTTTGTAACTCTGCTCCTTTTTTCAGAACAACCTCAGCTTTCAGTGTCTGGTTTGTATTTAGTATTTATGTTTATCAAAGTCCATAAAAATGCAGCTTAACTGAAAAAATACAGATTTGAATTCTTTACATTTATTAGGAACCTCAAAAAGGACTTGGTCAAACTATTGCAAATAAACACTTTAAACTCTGAACTTATTACAAACAGACAGAAAACAGTGTGAACCCTGCCTCATGTTTATCAGTTTAATGACTGCAGCCCTGTCTGTGACCACGGGCAGGTCTATGCTCTGGTTCAGAGAATGGCATGAAGTAAAATAAATATTAGGTAAGATAAAATAACACTCACACATCACAACTGTATGGAAATTTCTACCAGCATTATAATTACTGATAAGCCAGACAGAAAGTAAAAAAAGAAGGTGAAATCTAAACATTTCATGACAAAAAGTCAACTAATACAATTCGGCACAGATATAAAATTATATTTTCAGCTAAATAAATATTTATTGTAAATATAAATCATGCTGGAATGAAGCTGAATCTTACATTTAGTAAATAGTTGAGTGTTAAATAAAAACAAGTTTGACAGTAATCAGTCCCTCATGTCACCAGACACTTCTGGGACACCTGATTAAGGTGGATTTTCTTAGTGACGTTTCTATAACTTTATAAAAGCTGCTGATGCAGATGATCAGTTATCTCCTCTGTGTCTTCTCCGCTCTCCCGTCGCGGTTCGCTCAGTTTCCTGTGATGCTGAAAAGCTGGTTTCCCTCTAATAGCGATTTTCGGAATAACATGAATTACATCATGCAATACCTCGTTGGAAAGCTCGCTGTGCTTTTAGAAACCGTTGGAGTTATTTTAATTCGATCAGCCATTCAGAAGTTATCATGCGGAGAATCTCTCATGTCCTCTTTTCAGTCTCAGACATGCTGACTCTGCTCAACACGCACTAACCACGGACTCAAATGTTAATGTAAACAAAAGCTCTGATATTAAAATCCATCCAGCTGACGTGATGCAGGCAGAATAAAAAACTCACAGCTAGATGAGTGTAGACTCCTGCCGACATGCAAAACACAGGTTTCTGTCGTCTCCATGGCGACAGATTTAGAGCTACAGCAGGGACAGCCAATCCCACGATGGCATGACGCGGCAGAGCTAATCAGTGAGCTTGTGGGCGGGTCTAAGGGTTCAGCTTGAGGAGGCTGCCTCCACATGGTCCTACTGCCTAACTCAACCTCTCTAAAACTGAACTACTTGTCATCCCAGAAAAACCATCCATACAGCACATTATCTCAATCCAAAATGACTTCCTATCTCTGGCTCCTTCAAAGGCAGTTCAAAATCTGGGTGTTGTGATTGATGAACACCTGACCTTTAAAGAGCATGTTGCCTCTGTTGCTCGTTCATGCCGCTTTGCGCAGTATAACATACGAAAGATCAGACCATACCTAACACAACATGCCACCCAGCTCCTGGTGCAATCTACTGTCATCTCCCGCCTCGATTACTGCAATGCCCTTCTAACTGGTCTTCCAGCCTGTACTGTGAGACCTCTTCAAATGGTCCAGAACGCAGCGGCGCGTCTGGTCTTCAATCAGCCAAAAAGAGCACACATCACCCCTCTGTTCATTAAGCTCCACTGGCTACTGCTAGCAGCGCGCATCAAATTCAAATTGCTAACACTAGCATACAAAGTCCGAGATGGTACGGCTCCCATCTACCTGAATCCTCTTGCAAAGGCTTACGTCTCGGCCCGGCCGCTCCGGTCATCACAGGATCGTCGGCTAGCAGAGCCTACACCACGCTCAGGACAATCCAGACTCTTCTCATGCATCATTCCACAAATGTGGAATGACCTTCCAAGCACTACCAGAACGGCGGCTTCCTTTTCAATTTTCAAGAAACTCCTGAAGACCCTGCTCTTCAGAGAGCATCTTCTTAACCAGCACCATCCCTGTATCCAGGCATGACAGTTTTGGACGGTAAAATCTGATGGAAGACCGAAAAAAGGGCACTTTGGGCACTTCGGACAAACGGGGCAGGTGCTCCCTCCCGCCCCAAGCCCTGCACGTGCCTGTGTACCATAATGTGCACCTGCCTGCATACCATTACACATCACATCATACCATAGAATACCCTATTGTACCATCCCACATGTATTCATAGAGCACAGCAACAGCAAAGTCACACAAAGTGTAGTAAATAACCTACAACATAATTATAAAGAGAATTATAATTAATTATAATTAAATCCAACATTACTGCTTGTCGCAATTTTGCGACTTTGGCGCTTAAAGGGTTAACTTTTACCTATACTGTTATCGATACCAGTATCGGTATCGGTGCATGCATAACATTAAGGTGACTGGAGTCATCTTGGAGCCATTTCAAGATGACAGAGTCATTCATGAACTATTTTGCAGCAAGATTGTGCTTTCTTTAAACTTTCACTCAGAAACATTCTGAAAATGGACCAAAAATGTCACATACTGCTCCCCAGCCCGGGTCGTCTCTCCTCTCCCTATGTTAGTGTTTAATTAGTTGCACCTGCCTCTTGTTAACCTGATCACCTGCTTCCAGTGTATTTAATGCCTCTCAGTACTGTGTCTTGTGTGGGTCCTTCTTGGGAATTTTCACAGTGCATTTTGTCACTTTTTACCAATATTGCTGGACCAAAGAATAAGCTGATATCTGTAAGAAACAGGCAATAAAAATATGACATGTTGGTGTGATTCAGATGGTTGTTTTTTATTGGATATGGCAATTGCATGTCCTGAATTCACCAGTCCATCGTTTCTCTCATGCATCAACAGCGTGCTTCACAAACAACCAAAACACCTTTGAGGAACCTGATCAATAGAATCCTTTGGAATGTGACTGATTGTGAAAAGAGACGAGGAATTCCCAGAAACATGACAGCATCACAGTGCTGGTCGCATTTTTCCTCACTCTAGCCAATGTGTCTATTTTCTTAAACATATGAAGATGAAACAAGGCTGCAGTGTTACCCCACACAGGAAACAGGATTTTGTAAGACAGTTTAGGGTGTGAGAAAATGTAAAAAGCCTTACACAATACAGAATTACAGAATGATTGTGTTTGGTAATTGCTTTAGTTTCATGTGTTATTTAGAATCTGAAGAAACTGTGTTTTATTGGAAGCAGGTTACCACATACAGCACCTTTCTAAAACACCAGAACATTCATTGGCAAGATCTCACACACACGAGGGAAACTAGTGAAACAAAACATGTCCCAGTTTACAGAAAGCAAACTGGGACACTAGGTTTTAATTGTAGGTGTATAAAAGTTTCAGAAAGTGCTTCCACTACACAGACGTGCATCTTTGTGAACATTAGAAGTTTTCACTACCTTAGGGGTGGATGAAGTTTGGATCCTTCAGGAATGGTGAGCTAACCGTGAGCTAAATCAAAGCCCA